GAAAAATTTTAAGTTAAGAATTATCGTTTGTGTTATCGATTAATGAATGAATGTATGCATATCGTAATTTTTTAGCTATTTATATTTTAAAATTTGATACTTAAAGCCTAAAGAAGGATGAAAGTTGAAACGAATTTAAAAATATGTTGAGTTGAGAATTACCGTTTTTGTTATAAATAAATAAACGAACATATGTACATATAACTTAACTTTTAAGTAATTATATTTTTTAAAAAGAAACATTTGAAGGTTAAAGAAGAATGAAATAAAGAAACTTAAATAAAATTTTAATAAAAAATTAGCTCCAATATAATCGATTAAAGAATGAACACATGCATGTGTATCGATTTTTTTAGATATTTATATTTATTCAAAATTAATAATATTTAACAGTTAAAGAAGCTCGAAATATATTTTTTTTAATTTTAAAGTAAGTGTTATCGTTTGTGCAATCGATAAATAGATGAATATTCGTATATTGTAATTTTTTACAATTAAATTAGGAATATTTTAACTTTCCGAATTTGAGTTTGGATTGGAAATTTAAAAAAATGTATGAATATATTAAATTTACTAAAATATTTAATAACATTATAAATTTTTATCAGAAAAAACCATGAAAAGAGTTGTATAGTAGACACAGAAAAATACGATTAAGGTGCATTGTTTTGAAAGGATCAAAAATTAATATTTCAAAAGGTTCAAGAAATATTGTGATTATGATTGATAAAATTCAACCTAGTTTCAAACAAAACTACGAATATATCAAAAATAATACAGTTTTAAAAATAACTGCTACATATTGTTTTGTGTTTATGAAGAGAAACTATATTCAGATTTCAAAATAAAAATCGCATAAAAATACAGCTAATTTGTTTGTATTATAAAAGCGATTAATAACAAGCTTTTATGAATATTTAATATTTAATGTATATACATTAATTACAAAAATTACGAATGGCTTAAAAGACTCACACGCCATGAGAAATATGAATTTTCACACTTACTATTATACTAATGTTTACTAAAACATTAACAGCAGTAGCAATTGCAGTGTTAATAAACTTCTTTTTTCATAAAAATAAAAATTCAAATATATGATAACTGTACCAATGACCTAAAAATGTAGCCACATGACTGGCGAAGCACATTTTCTCACAGCAGTCGTCTAGCCGTTGCCATAAATATACTTGACCAAAATAATTTCGAAATGAGAAGCAAAAACTTCAGAAATAAAAACAAATATTGTTGGCCATTGAAAAGCGGAAAGCGGCCAAATAAATAACTGTTAATAAATTAGAAGCCAAAAAGCTAAGCAACTCTGAGGTCACAATTTCAAATTTCGTTTTCATTTTACACACGATTCTCGCAAGCCGGCTTTGTTTAATGAATATTTTTCAAAACAGATTAGCTATGCATTGCTTTTGATTGTGTCTAACAGTATGATAGAGCATATTTTTCATAGCATTTATTTATTTACATATATAAAAAGTATGTATTTATACTTTTTTTACACAAAAGCCATTTCCCATTCACTGCATAAAGTAATTACTTCCATAGCTGAATCGAAATAGCACAAAAGCTTAAAAGTGAAAATAAAACTTGCTGGCGATAAAAGCAACAACAAAAAATACATAGCAAAAATCTTACATAAAAAAGCTGGAACTGCTTGGCGCAGCAGCGTGAGTATAATGGCGAAACCGGAACCACATGACAGTCACCCCAACCTTTTACTCGTTGTCAAAAGTTAAAAGTATGCGGCTTAAGCTCAGCTCAAATGCGACGGCGTTGTGGCGAACGTACGCAGCGTTGAATGAAACCTTGCGTTTCGTGCTTTTGCTTATTTTTTTGTGACCGATCGCAGATAACATTTCATAGCTAATGCTTAGAACACGCCCTGGAGGATTACAGAAAATCTGTTATTACTATAGTGTTAGCATATTATTAAAGTTGTCTACGGGTGTGGGTGAAAAAAAACTAGATCAGTCTTTTATTCTGCACTAGAAGGAACTATTTCGGCTAAGAAGGCGCATATTTTTAGTATGTGAGCCAATATATATATATATATATATAATATTGCAACCCTATTATGTAAGACAACTGGTGTGTAGTTGCCGGTCTACTAGCCATACTACTACTATATCAGTATTTTATTTCCGTATGACTACTGAGCTGATATTCGTGCATTTTGTTTTTTAATTTTTAAGATAACTCCAGTTTAGAAACAAAATAATTGCAGTGTAATTGAAGAATAAAGAAATCAAAATATTAGTGTGTCTGGTTTAGGAGGCCATACTGGTGATTTAAAAATTTTGACAGGGCTGTAACATATGTAAATGTTATATAAGAATACTATATATAATAGAAAAAATAATTATAACTTAAAAGTGAAAGAGATGACTTCTATAGAATTATACAATAATAATTTATATGAAATTAAAATCTAAACCAAATTTAAAAAAAAAACTACTTTTTGTTAGAAATGCACTTGTGAAGGCCATTATAGCTTCAATGCAACCGAAGTTTAGGCTTTTCTGGTTTTATGACTTCAATTATCAGTAATAAAGCCTACATATGCTTAAGGGTGATCGGGTATCTAAGAAATCTGGTGTTCTAACTGTCTGCACTATAAACTTATTTAAACCGTTATTAAAAGTAATTTCAAAGTAGAAACATTTAAAATATTTTACTTTTCATCCACTGAGATACTATTTTTGATACTATATCTCTCTATTATATATAAAAGTTTTCTGTTGCTGTCGAGAATCAACAAACATAAGAGCGAGCTAGCTCGCGCTCGGCGGGGGGCGGACGTAGGCGAGCGAGCGAAGCGAGCGTCCCGTAGCGCAGCGGAGGGCGCCTAGTGTATTATATTATTTATTTTCGTTCTTGTATACTGAGTAGCGTATATTTTCTCACCACTGTACGAACGCTCCCATGTTAGTTGGTAATTCATAATGAACTTTTACACGATACTCAAGTTGTTTTCTTTGCTCTTGAAGCATTTTCGATTCTTAGGATTATAGATGTTAATAGATATATACAAATCGTAGATACATACATAGTTATGTACATGTGTGTAGAGGAAATCTTAATCCATTTAGCGTGTTTAATAAGTACAAATAAATCCATAATGAAATTTTCGCTAACGCCGTTATGGTCGCTGGACTTTTATCTCCACTAAGTACAAGAAGTGGAAGAAAAAATTTGTGTACAACAATAAGCAGCTAAAGCAAAGACTTGTAGAGCTTTAGAAAAATATAGAGAAATTATTGGACTTGTTTGCTTGACATACTGGCGCAGGAAGAAGCATAAGAAAAGATAAGGTTGAATAGCTACAATGTAGGAAACAAGCATATGCCTCACATATACATATACATACATCTGTATATAGTATTGTATGTATAACACCAACTAGTAGAAATAATGGTGATTATTATAAATGGCAAATGTACGAGTATGATGATGGTGAGCGAATAACTTTCATATTTTACACACACACACACACATCCATTGATACTGGCAGTTTAATTGTGTCAAAGCAAGTACCAAATGAAATTAGTTCATATGCTGCTATTGCCTACCGCCACATTGCGGATATGAGTGCTGCCCCAGCCACTGCCAGCGGCGATAAGCTGACGCAATGATGTTTCAATGTCGCGTTCTATTGGCGTCGCTTATTACATGTACCATGTCGATGAGTGCCAATCGGCGTTGTTAAGCTTAAGCAACAACTTTCAGGCATTCACTTCTATTTAGCGTTCAAGTCGCCCACGCGTTTTAAGCGTACATATGCTCATGTGCGCCGTGAGCGCTTGTGGGTGGACGCGTGAAAGGCGAGATAAGCGTGCAGCAACCGGCGTTACAATTCAACTATACACACACACATACAGTTATATATGTTTTGCTATTTATATAAATACCACACACTTACACGTGCGCACATACAACGCTTGCAACAGCAACAGCGTGCGCGTCATAGCGCCAGCAATCAACTGACAATTTTGAGAGTATCTTCGCTGCCATACTCATTTTCTGCACCTATGTAGTTGTCTTTTCCTTCGTGCAGCGCGTAGGCGTAGGCGTTTGAGGGTGACTAGCGCCGCAATCCGCAGCAAACTCATCATCACTCGCTTTAGCTTATCAGCTTTCAATGGCGCACACATCCTTTAGCCCACTTGAGCGCCTTCTCGGCTGTTTAACGCCTTAAATGCGTTGGTGTTTGGCTTTGCGCTGCTTTCGTGCGTCAAAGGCGTTGTGGGAGTGATAACGCAAAGCACGGCGTGCATCTATTGTACAGCATATATATGTCTGTGTGTGTGCTGACGGTATTTCGCAACCGGCTTTTACACACAGCGGCAGTAGCTGTCGTCATATGGTTCGCATGGGTTTGATAATAAATTATGATAATGTAAATGGTTGGCGACTGGACCCAGCAGGTTGTGCATTTGAAAAGTGCGTGTGTGTGTGCGTGAATACCGGCAAATTACGGCTACGTACGTCTAGTTCCGTTCTCGTTTGTTATTTGTTTGTTGTGTTTTTTTTTGTTTGCTCTTTTGTAATGCTTATGTAATATTTTTTGCATATTTACGTAAACAAGTTTAGCTATGAAACAAAAACAAAAGCAGCAAGAAAGAATTATAATTAATACAGTATCAACAGCATGTCTCGAACGGCGCGCGTCCACGTGCCGGATTTCTTGCAGATAACTTGTAATTTTTTTTTTATTTTTTATTGCCGAGTACTGGAGTTTGCGCATTTCTTAGAATTCATTCAGTTGCTAGCAGATAAAAAGGTGCGGCTTTTATTGTTGCTATTATTATTTTAAGAGATAAAGTTAGATTAAAATTCAAATCGAAATTAGAGCGATAATAAATATCAAACTAAATTTAATTAAAAATCATTTCAACTAACTGAAATATTTTTTTCATAATAATTTGAATTTTTTTTATTCATGACAGCCATAGTTTTATATAAGAAAAGGTCTTTAATTTTTAGAAAAAAATCTTTTCAGCTTTTATATGAAATATTAGGTAAGATTTCGTTAGTTCATACTTAATCGATGAAGTCGGAAAAATTGTAACAATTGTGAGGTTAGGTTTAGCTGACCATTCGTCCGGGCTCCAAGTTAAGCGTCCCGGCCGTCCCGGGATTAAAGACTAAAAAAACAAAAAAATTAATAAAATTGTGTTGCTCTTGCACCTATTATATGTCGCAATTTTCAGCGAATTATAATATGAAAAAATTGTATGACTACAAACCGTCACCTAAGGTTAGCTACATTAGATCAAATGGTTAGGTTATGTTGAGTCTTGTCGAAAAAAATTATATGTAGAAGCAATAACAATATTATCGAGTTGAATTCTTGCAAGACAGTATGCGGTCTGGCCCCCATCTTCAGTGCTATCAGATTTTGTTTAGCATATTTTAGTTAATTTTTACTATTATGAATGGTTCAAATGACATATGAAAATGCAAATTTCTTTTTTTCTTGTAACTTTTTTCAAATTTAAGACTCAATTAATTACAGTAATTTATGGAAAACAAAAATTAAGGTTTAAGTCAAAATGATTTAAAGCTAAAAATGAATTTCTCCACTAAGAAATAATTGTAGGACTTATGCGCATGCGTCAGACGATATGCACCACAAGTGTGGCCCCTTTTTTTGAGCATCTGATACCCTTTTTGGCTATGTGAATTATGGCTGTGAAAGGTATTATAGCTTCAGTGCAGCCAAAGTTAACGTTTTATTTTAAAAAATTTCGATTTTTATTTTATTTTAATATAATTTTCTACCTAATTACCTTTCCTAAACCATATTGTAAAAGCATTTACGAAATCACCTACCCGCTACTTTCGTCATCAGTCACCCATTCAACCGCAACCAATCATAATAAGGATCAAACCGCAACGAAACCTGATATAATTAGAGGTTTCAATGGATGAACACACACAGACAATTATGTACATGCTGATACGCAAACTTGTATTTGTAGCTGCATTATCCATCAATTCATAAATCGTCAAATCAACATTTGAACCTCCCAACAGTTATGCGAGCGTATAGATTCGAGATTTGGCAATTGACTATGGTTTTGTTTAATTGACGTTTTTCGGTTTAGTTTGATCGTTGGCGGCTCATTAGCCAACTTCTTTACGCCCAACACGTTTTCGATGCTTGCTCTTTTTTATTTTTTTCTAATTTTTCGACAACCACAAATTTCTATAATTTCGTTTTATTTCTGGTAAAAATGTTTTTACGATTCGCCATGGTTGTGCTTGCAATGCTGAGTGTGCATTGATGATGTTTGGGTTTCTTTTTTGACTTTTGTATGTGTCATGTGTTGGCTGTAATGCGTAGTAGTGTGTGTGTCTGAATGTGTCTACTCTTGCAGAGTCAGCACAATTAATGAACAGTTAAAATGAGTTGCACGCGCTACGCATGCGCACTTCAACCAAATACAAGTACACACACACATACTTGAGTTCACGCATACATACAAGAAAAAGTTCATATGTATGCTTGGCATACTTGACTGTGATCAATGTAGCTTGATGTTGCTTCAACGCAACCAACGGTATTTGCTGAATACACTGCGGCAGTTGATCGGAAGCGCTGCCACAGCGTTAAACACTTTTAATAATAATGCACGCCAGCAGCTATGAACGATTTTATTTAATTTATTTTGTTTTATGCACTTGCTTTCATTTTATTTTATTTTTTGTCGTGCCTTTTGCTCTACTATGTCTGCTTATGTGATCTACATTTTGATGAATTTGTATACATATATTAGAAGCTTACGTGTTGCCCTGTAGGAAATATTCGATAGCAATTTCATTTGCTAAATTTTCTTTTATCAAATAGTGGCCTTGTGAGCCATTTTAGATTTTTTTCTTACCGAATATATATTTTTACTATTTAAACAATAAAACTTAAAGGTTTGTAAGACATATTCGGTAAGAAAAAAATCTAAAATTATTGACATTTTTTCTCGAATAGCAATCAAGTCGTTAAAAACGATCAGGCATCATTTTTGTATTAACAAAGTTTTATGTAAGAGCATCTTAAACATCGAATATAATCAAAAACCTAGTAGTTTTTATTTCATAAACATGTAGAGAATTTCAACACTGAGAGCCAGGCGAGCGAAGTATTAATTTCTAGGCAAAATTTAATGCTCAAAATTTAAAAAAATGCAGTTCTAAAACACATTATCGGTTATTAAAGACTTGTAGTTTTTTTCTAATAAAGCTGTGGAGAGCTGCAGCATTGAAAGTTTTGTGAATGTAATATCTCTTATTTGGCGATATTTGATTCAGAAAAAATTAAATTACCTACATACCTATTACCTACATTTCTAAATATATTTACCGTTATCCGAGCTTTCAACTCTTAACATTTTTTGTTAAAGCTTAAAGCTCCTCACCGGGTGCTCCAAAACAATGCATGGCTGAGTTTTTATATCACGCTGAGTTCACATTATATATTAGGTGTTGCTGCCGCACTTTTCGATCAAATTAAAAAGTATTTAAAAATAATGTTAAATGGAAAATGCGGTTATATGTATGTATGTACAGCGAGTCGGTGGCAGCGGCGACTGTCTGCTGGTGGGTGATGGTTTATGTCTGCGGGGCATCAACCAATACACACATAAATAATCAACACAAGCGTAAAGAAATAGCTAAATATATATGTATGTGTGTAAGTGTTGGCGATAAATGCGAGCAAAAGCTGATTTTGAAGCACCTCTTGAATTTAACGTATGTACAATTTTGGTCTTATTTTTAATATAAAAGCGGCACAGCAACAACAACAACTACTAGTTGCTGGCGGCTTCGTGATAAAGGCAAACGCTGCGCATGGTGTTGCTTATGAAGTTGATGGATGTTGGCGCTGATGTTAATGGTAATGTTGGTAATATTGGCCAACACGTTGACGATAATGTTGCACGTAATGATCAGCAGGCATAAAGTCAAGCGTCAGACGAGTGATGGGCCATGGCGAGTGATTGTAGCGCACAGCAGCGCTTTATACTTTGCGCTGCTTTTACTGCTGGCTGCTGTTGCTGCTGTTGCTGCTGCTGCCACTGTCGCGCCGACAACTTAGCAACTTTCTCATTCAAGTCAGTTCATTTCATTTGTTTGTTTTAGCTTTTATATAAACACACATACATACATACATTGGAGCGCTTATTGTAGCATTCATATATTACTACTTGTATATATGTATAAACATATATGTGCGTGTGTGTATGAAACTGCTGCAAGCACGTTGTGCGCGTATAAATAACTCGGTTGGCTGGCTGACTGGTAAAACCGTATACTCAATACACAACAAGAAAAACAAAAACAACAACAACAACAACAAAATTAAAACAACAACATTCTGAATGGTAATCAAAGCGGCAACAGGCAAAAAATATATAATAAAGTTACAAACTGTGAATTGTGGGAGCACCTTTCACTTTAATCGTGTATTTTTTATGCAAGTATGTGGATATATGGTGTGCGCATTTATGTATGTATGTCATCATGGCTCAAGCTAAACACGCAGCTTATTAGTATGAATGAAAGGATATGCCTGCTTACAAAATGCAACGGAAATAGCTATTTTGCAGCGTTCAAATAGTGGGTGTCTCGCATGGCATCATGCTAATTAACTGTAATTTATATGAACAAAAAAAAAAAGCCGGCTACACCGAAGCTATAGTACCCTTCACATGTGCATTTCTTATAGCATAAATGGGTATAAAAAGTTCTTTACATTGATTTTGATCGGTCAGTTTGTATGGCAGCTATATCTTTTAAAGCTTCGATATCGATATCTCTAAAACTTAGCGACTAATTCACGTGTATATTATATATACATAGATATATATAAATTTATATATATTTTTACAGAGCAAATATGTCGCTGCTGAATTTTTATTTTTATCTTAAAATATCATGTTTAAATTCAGCGCACACACAGTATATCTTCAGTTAACCTCAGTTAGTTAGGAAACAATAAGCGTATTTGAAAGAAAGTCGCACTTGCTACAAATTGTAAAATCAATGATTTTATCGCGTTATAATTCATTTTAATGTCAATCATTACTGCGCTTTGGCTTTTCAAAAAAAGTGGCGCTTTTATTACAATTGTGACTTTAAGTTTCATTTTTATTGTAATTGTAAGCTGTGATATTTTCTTTTTTGCTGCTGCTTATTATTGAATCAAATAAGCGGCACATGACAAACATTTTGTGGAGATATGTATAATAAATTTTTTAAACAAAATAACAAAATACAAAAAACAAAAATTTTAATAAAAAAAAAAATATACAAAAAACACAAAAAAATTTACAAAAAAAAACGAAAAATAAATTTAAAAATTAATACCAAAAACAACAACCACAAAAAATCACGCGTTTACAATCAGTGCTGTCGTTGCTTTGAAAATATTTTTTTGCGTATATAATAATAGTAATAAAAGCGGCCCGTAGCGTTTTTTAAACTACATTACTCTTGATTTTTAGCTACAGTTGTATAAGAAAAAACCACTCACTTTTGCGATTTCAATTTTTTATTGTATTTTGCTACGCTTATAATTTAAGCATATTTTATTTTCTTATGTTTTCCGATTTCATTTTATTTTACTTACAACTTTTGCTTTTTAACGCTTATTGTTGTGTTACTTTTGAAAAGATTTCGACTTGAGAGTGACATATTTGGGTTACTTACCAAAAAATCCAGCAATTCACCTTCTCTATTCAGCGATTGCTAGTTGTTGCTGTGCGTTATGCTTTGTAGGCGCTGAATAATTGTTATTTATCGCTAATAGACAATCGCTTATGCAAGCATTATGTGGTTTTTGATACATTTTGGGGGCTGAAAAAATAAACCAACAAAATGTTAAATGAATTTCTGAGAAACGTCTTAAAATTGCGGCAATGATTCACAAAAAGTATTATCACAGTAATGCTCGTATTTTATATAAATATTTATTTTAGCAAATTTTAATGAAGAAATTACTTTTGAATATGAGTATAGATTTTTACTTTTATAGTTATATATATATATATTTTTTTTAATATTCATGCTTCAAATTAAAATTTTCGCAAAGTTTTGAATTTTGTGCCTAAAAGATGCAAAATATTTTTAATTAATACGCACTTAAAACATTTTTTAAACCAATTTTAAACAAATCTTTATGGATAAATAATTTTGTTATTCTCTTATAATTTGTTTAAGTTTTATAAAAATATTTAAAATATTAAATAATAAAATTGTTGTATATTTCAATATATTATAGTTTGAAATTTAGCGCCTAAAAGATGCTAAAAAATATAATAAGTTGTCCTGTAAGAATCATAGTATATCGGTGTATCATATGTATCATCAGCATCATGTTGGCCGCTTGCTTTTCAACCGATAACCGACTGCTTTTTTGTCATACAAGCCACTAATAAGTCGATTGACAGATTTCGCACAAAAGTATACCATACCATTCACACTAGTTCATAGCTAATCAATACTATTTATTTTAATTCACATTCACAGTTGCTATTTTTATTTGAATTTAGTTCGGGTTTTCCAAGCTTTTATTGAAAAAATACTGATCAGCAAGCTTCTCTATGCACCAACATTTTCTCTACTAAAACAAGTGCAAATCTAATGTTTTTCTGACTAATTCATTTTTAGGCAAAACATTCCAGCTGTAAAGTATTATTTTTCTACTTTGCTGCTCCGCTACCGTTATTTTATATACATATATACAACCATAACCACATATAGCATTATCCTAAACTTAAACGTGTTTTCCTTCAAAATATCGGTGCTTAAAGATTTAACGATAACAAATTGTTGGGTTATTATTCAAAATTATAACCCACTGATTGCAAATAAGGCATGTTTTAACTCTTTCTTATACATTATATGAATTATAAGGTTGCTATAATGTCGCGACATATTTCTTTTTGTATTTAATAATAATGCAGTTCACGCTGTTGCTAACCCAATATAATGAAAATACCCGACCATAAAACGTGTTTCTATGCATCACCAGTTTATGTAAATTATTTTAGGCCTTTTCGAAAAGCCACACTCTATGCATTGACGTCACAGAGCGTACGATTAATGCAAGAAAACAAGTTTCAAAATAAATATTCATTTACATATGTATTATAATAATTACTAGCTGCCGTCATGAAAATTTTGCATATGCCAGCCTCTATCTATTTTATGATTTAATATAAAAAAAAAAATTAATTAATTTTAAACACTTTCTACAAAAGATGCATGTGTTCCATTTTATGGTTAAATGCAAATAAAACTTTTGTTGTCTTTCAGCAAGTAATTTGCATAATGGTAACATTAGTTTAGTGTTAGTTGGCCTAGGTGTCGATACTTATATGTATATTGTCATACAATATTATGGGAGAAAACCTTAAGGTCACATGTCGAAGAGACTAATTTAGCGTGATAAATGGTTTGCTTCAGTTAGGCTGTGGGTTATAGGCAGCGATAATACATATCCAGCAGTGTTGATACAAATACTAGTCAGTGCTGAGAAAAGGAAATATAAAGGACACAAATTTTGTTGCCTAAAACAGCTCCATTATGTAATCGTTTTGCATTAATATAAATATTTATCAGGGCTGTTGTAAATACTATTCAGTACTGAGAAGAGTTTATAAACAATTTGCAAACACATCAGAGCAATTATATAATATAATATGTACTTACCATTAGTGCTGTTGCAAATACTAGTCAGTAATGATGCAAACATTTAGCATTCAGTCACAGATCATTGCGTTGAAATTGCACAGTTTAGAAAATTTACAGTCAAAAATAGTTGTTATCAATAGCTTTTTAGACGAAAAGTAAACTCTACTAGTACTACTTCGCTTAAAAAAACGTTACCAATCCAGAAAAATTCTATTTACTCACCTCTTTTCGACGTTTTACTGCACAAATAGTATGGTTAAAGCGACTAACGTAACATTCTACACATGTATAAATATTTAAACCCTAATAATTACGTCAATTTGAATACCAGTAAGTTAGTTATTTGTATGTCTAGTACATGTACCAACGGTACTAAACACACACACATACACACTAACACAAACAAAATTAAGACACAAACACGCATACTTTAGCAAATATGCATACAATTTTATGTAAATAAGTTAAGCACATTCCAGCAACCTGCCAAGCAACTAAGCATTCAAGCAGAAAGCGTCAAAAATTATTTGTGTCAAAAGAAGTAGAAAAGACAAGAAACGGCTTAACGGTGGGAAAAGCCAAGAAAGTCATCTAAAAAAGGAGCGACAAAAGTGGCTATGAGAAATGGTTGAGGTAAGCTGTGGTTAAGTTGAGGAATGAGATTGTATTGTTGTAACATATTGTGAAATGTTGGGTGCTTTGCAGGCTGTGAGCAGGCAAAGATGAGGTTAGGTGAGGTGTTAGGGTGAGCGCTCGTAATACATATTGCTGGAGCAGTTATAAAATTGTGCAGTAAAGCGTTAATAAAAATAAAAATTACAAAACAAATATGAGGAAGTTGTCTGTGGTTTTTATACCACTTTTTAATACAATAAAATTACTGTAAATGCAACTGCTAATCAATAGTACAATACAAGTAATGATAATATTAATTGCGATTAATTGCCATGCTTGATTTTGATTGGCCAGTTTGTATGGCAGCTATATGCTATGGTTAACCGATCTAAATAACTTATTTGGAGATTATAGCTCTACCTTAGATAATACGCTATGCCAAATTTCACGCAAATATCTCTTCAAATGGAAAAGTTCTCCATAGAAGAACTTCACTTTGATCGGTAAGTTTGTATATATTGTATATCCTATAGTGGTCCGATATCGACGATTCCGACAAAGTAGTTATTTCTTGAGGAAAAAACGACGTTTGCTTATGCGTGTTACAAACTTCGTGGCAACCTTAATATACTCTCTCCCCTGTTTCCTAAACACCGATGTTTCGACTCTAAACTAACCTAACCTCTTAAGTTTTCAATATAAAAAGATAATATAGACAATTTTTGTCCTTCCCAACCCAATTGGGCGCTGAAAGAAATTTAACAAATAACCTAACAAATGAAACTGCATAAATCGCACTGTAATGAGTTGTCATTAATGTCAACCAAAACACTGGAAATACACAAATATGCACAATACCTACAGATGAGCATAACAAATTTTCTAGTAAGCCGATCGATTAGAGGAACCTGATCAGACCCGAACCGATTGCGTTTTCATATGCCAAGTATAGCGGCTAGTATGTTTTTGTTGTTATTGTATTTGGGATGCGCTCATCATTAACGTACATACAAATAAATAATAAACACGAAAATGGCAAAAAGGTTATTCACCTGTTACACACGCCGTAATGCGGCGGCACGAGCAAGCAAGCAAAAACAACATTAAGCTCATATGCTCTTTATGGTTGTGAGATAAATATGAGCAGCGGCTTTTACCATAAATCGTCGCGTCGACCACCACCAGTACCGAGCAGCATTCGCAGTTGCGTTGCGCCCGGGAAATGTAGGAATGCTTCGATGATTGGACGGACGGCGAGATAAATGTACAAATAAATGAACGGTCAGTTGTGTTTAACAACAAACTTGAAATCACGATCCCTCATGCGAACAAAGAGGAAGCAGGCAGCGAGAAAGAGCACATATACAAACAAACATAAAGATGCTAAGCTGTACAAATGTATACACAATTTTTTGTTGGCGATCTTTACCTTGTACATAGAATATTGAAGATCATTTCGTAAGAGCGTTGTATTAAGCAAACGGCTCAGGTGGCTCAACGAGCACCGAAAGTGCAGCACCTGCAACAGTGTGCTGTAGAAAAAGCAAACACAACACAAACAATATCAATAATAAACAAGAAAGAACGCTAACTTCGGCTGCACCAAAGCTATAATACCCTTCACATTATTAATTATTATTATTCGGAGATTTCACCGTTGCCTTGGACAACAATCCATGTCGAATTTAATGAAGACATCTCTTAAAATTTAAAGTTTTTCCATACAAGCATTTGATGCCGATCGTTCAGTTTGTATGTTAACTATATGCTATAGTGGTCCGATATTGGCCGTTCCAACAAATTAACAGCTTCTTGGTGAGAAAAGGACAGGTGCCAAGTTTCAGATCGATACCTCAAAGACAGACGGACATGGCTTAATCGACTCAGCTCGTCATGCTGATTATTTATATATAATATTTTTATATACTTTATAGGGTTTCCGACGTTTCCTCCTGGGTGTTACAAACTTCGTGGAAAACTTAATATACCCTGTTCAGGGTATAAAAACATTAAACGTGAAAAGACTATAAGACGGCAGTAGCCAGTCACACTTTGGTGGCATATCATGGCCGGTAAGCCGGCTACCTGGAAGCCAGTTTACCTTTCAACTTTTGTTGGTCAAACTGTTTAGCCATTCACTTGATACATATTTATGTATAATAAGATGAAAACGAAGACGCCAAAAATAGATTTTCAAATACTAAAAAACAAGAAATAATTTAGACTGTCGAATTAGCTAATCGCCAAATTATTCATAATTATTGCTACCAGTATGTGAGATATACCGTATAATGAAAGTTGGTTTGAACGCATACATATGCCCAAAATTATTTCGAATCGAAAATGAGTGTGCCTTCAATGTATCAAAAAAAATAAAAAATAAAAAATTCAACAAATTTCTTTGATGAAGTGTTCATATTATGGCGGTCCATTCTTCTGCCGGAACTCACAGCCTAAGTTGCGTGAGTCACGCATTTACCATTTATCAGGTGTATAGCGAAAAATAATAATCCATCCATCTGTGATTAAAAAAAAATCAATTTTTT